GCCTTGAGGAAGCGGTACAGCGGGTGGGTGTCCGGGCCTGGGGGGTCGAGGGTGACGGGGACGGGTGGTCGAGGGGTGGGGGAGGGGGCCGAGCGGCGGATGTGCCGAGCCTGTGCGTAGCATCACATTGATGGCCGAGGAGCAGGAAAAAGGGGGCCCGGGGAGGCCAGGCCCTGGGGGTGCTCGCAGCTGCAAGCGCAGGCTGTGATTCCCGAGCAGGGCTGGCCTTGCACCGTCCGCAGCTCCCCTTGGATTGCGGGCACAGCCCTCCCCATCCACCCATGCACACGCATGCACGCAGTGGCGCACGCGTGCATGCACACGCGCACGCATGGCCGCTGGTCCATACACCACCAGAAGCACGCCCTCCCAACACTCGCTTCACGCCCGCGGCGCCGGCCCTAGGGGGCACGCGTGCGACCGCACACGGTCAACGCACCGTTGACCAGGATGTGGTCGTACACCTCAAAGTCACGCGTGCCGAACTTGCGGTATGCCGCCTCCCGCTCCTCCTCATCTGTGCCAGGCGCCTGGCCGCCGAACTGCGGGCGCCGCGAGGGGTGTGGTAATGCAGGTGGTGCTAGTTCAATACTGATGACTGCCTGCGTGCTGCCCGCATGCGCAGGGGGGCTCCACAGGCCTGCAAGCGCTGGGACGCATGCCCTGGGGATGCGGGATTTGGGGGGGGGGGCGAGAGAGGCGGTGGCAGTGACGCACCTGGTTGCACGATACGGCTGCCACCTCAAAGCCGTCCGGGCGGTACTTTTCTAAGAGCGTCCTGAGTCCTGAGTTGGGAAAAGACAGGAGCAGGAGTGCCCAGCCAGCGGTCAGTGCAGGATCAGTCAGTGTGCCACTGACCGCGCGACGCTGCTCGCGCCACAAGTAACGAGCAGCACTCCCGCTCCGTGTCGCGCAGCGCAGCTGCGGCGCCGCCCCGGCGCCAGCGACCCGAAGCGGCAGCACGAGTCCCGGCCACTCCGCCCGACATGGTGAGTGCAGTAGGAGTCCCTCCGCCCACCTGGGTAGTTGAGGTTCTGCAGGGGTCATGCGCTGGCCACGTTGACCAGCACGACCACCTTCCCGTTGTACCGTTTCGCCAGGGGCACTTGGCCGCCGTACTGCCGGTTTTGCAGGACGGGTTTATGTGGAGGGGCCAAGCGGGGATGTTGCGTGTGTGAAGGGGGGCCCGGGGCCGCACACGGCGCTCGCCGCTTGAGGCGATGGAGCGCGCGTGAAAAAAGCGGTGCGTTGGAGCGGCGTGCGCGGCCACACAGGGGCCGCGAAACCCTGCAATGACAGCCCCATTGGCTCAGCGATGCTGCCAACAGCCTTGACTGCGCCCACCTGGGGCAGATTGAAGGCGTAGGCGCCGTTGGAGGGCTGCGCAGCGCTGGCAGCAAGCGGCGCCGCAGCGGGCACCACAAGGCCGCTCGACAGGACGGCGGCGCCGCCCAGCGCCAGCAGCGAGTCGCGGCGTGTTGCATTGCAGCGAACGTTGCAGGACCTCGCATGGCCACGTGAGCCCGCCCGCTGGGCCGCGGGCTGGGCGAGGGATGCCCTCATAGCGCAAGTTACGACGGGCCAGACACCAGAGGTCACCAGCGCATAAAATATGCTATGCAAATCAATTCATGGAGCTTTATGGTACCATCAGGAATGTGTAACCGCTTGAACTGTGATCATGTCGGGTCTGCAGATGCTTCTTGCTTGCACATGATGCCAGCACGGCTCAAAACAAGCAACATGCTAACCGCTGCTCAGGTCATAGACTAGCACCGTCACGGCTGCAGTCTGAATTTACACTGTGCTGCTACAGTGGCAACCTTGCCTGCGACCATGCAGGTCAATGACCGGTCAACCGTGTTTTGCCAGCCATCAGCCCATGGCCAGGTGCCCATAGGCCCCGTGGAGGTGCTGAGAGATGTATCACATGGTGCAAAGGTGATTGTCCCGCCCCCCTCCCCCTAGTCCTGTGAAACAGTCAAGGCGCGGGTTTGAGCACACGAACCAAGGCTGCAAACCTCTTGCTGATGGTTTGTTCATGGATCACGCCCTTGGCACGTGGTTGATAAGACCCACCAAACCACGTCTGCTCAAGATAATGCAGAACTCGCGCACTCCTGTATGCAGCTTGGCTGGTCTCTTGCCTGTCAACTGCACACTTAAGCCCGAAGGCGTTGGCGTTTGTCGACTTGGTGCAAGAAACCACCTACAAATCTGGCTCATTGTATGCTGCTATTTATTGATATGACCATTCTATAATGCCACCATCTGCACCCCGCTGCGCACATGCCGCATGCATCTTGCCCTGCGCGCTCATCATTCCATGCCGGCGCACGTGCGGTGCGCCCTTGCCCCGCCCCAGCCAGCTCGCTTTGGCCCGTGAATGTCCTGGTCTGCTAAAATCTGTGCAATACATTGAACAATGATATGATTGAAGGCGATCGCTGCAGCAATGGAGGCGGGCCCATTGGGTTGACGGTCAACTGAGCGGCAGTGCCACAGGGAAAAGAGTGCGCCACCTGGGTGAAAATTTCGGGCGCACATTCATGGATGATCACAATCTACGTAAGTATGCTCTGTGCATGCCCTGCGCTTCTCTGCGGTCTTCGATCTACGGCGGATTTCACGACCTGTTGGATCTGAGCGTCATTGCAGCACCAGCCATAGCGTATTCATCAGCCAAAAACACTGGTTTGTACCGCATCCATGTCACGTTAAAGTGATATTCATCAGGTGGTGCACACAATCTCACTATCTCGCTGCCCAATTTGCCTTCACCCACGATGGGTACGTGCTAAAACCACGATAGTAGTAACGAAAATGTCTGTGCTCATGACAAAGCCAGTGGGCTCCGGGCCCATGCGTGTGAGGCTCCCCCACGACCGGCACAGGGGGCAGCCGTCGCAACCAGCCATCGCCAGGCCCAATGGGCAGGTCCCTGCGCCGCGTGTGGCATCCACGGCGGATGCGTTTGTTCAAGACCTACGCAACCCCCTTGGCGTGCTGGATGAGCAGGTCAGAGCGCGCGCCGCGCCGCTCTGAACGTGCGCATGCAACACGCACGGCGCGCGCGGCTATGCGTGGACGTATTTGGAAGCATGTAGGCCATTCGGAATCTGCCAGACCCCAAATTGCATATCATATGTCTGAGTGGGCCGCAATTCGGGGTGGTCAGCCTGAGTGCGAAGGCGTCTTGGCAGTCCGCAAGCCCTTCACTTCCCAGTTGCTACAATGGTGCCAATGCTGCATGCCCGCGTCCGCCGCGCCCACCACCAGGCGGCCCTGGCGGGCGCCCAAGCGCTGATCGCCGCACCGCTGCAGCCGGTGGAGGTCCCGCGCCCGGCCGACTTGCAGCGGCAGCAGCGGCAGCAGGCGCGGCGCGCGGCGCCCCGCGGCGACCGCGGCGCCGCTCAGCAGCAGCAGCAGCTGCCGGGGCGTGGCCACCAGCAGCAGCAGCAGCAACAGCAGCAGCAGCAGCCCTGGCAGCAGCGCCACGGCCAGCCGCGCCACGGCCACCACCCGCCACAGCAGCAGGCGCTGCGCGCGGCGCTCAGCGCGCTCGCCGACCCGTCGCGCCCCGTGGCGCTGCCCCCGGCGGAGCTGCTGCTCAGCTGCCCCGCCAACAACTGGGAGCTGGACAAGCTGTTCTCGACGCTGGGGCGCAGCAAGGCGACCTGGAGGCGCGCGCTGATGCTGTTTGAGTGGCTCAAGGAGGCGGGGCACGAGATGGATGACCGGCTGTGCACCACGGTGGGCAGGCGGCTACCAGCAAGCGGCGTCCCGGTCGTGGCGCATGTTGAGGGAGTGCCGCCCTCAGCTGCCCTCATGCAGCTGGCCCCAGCAAACATGCATGTCTGCCTCCCGCTCCGCTCTTGACTCAACTGTTGGTGCTGCGGCGACTCGGCTCACCCTGTTCACCCTTCATGTCGGGAACCTTTTCCTCCCCCTGCAGCTGATCCGCGTGTGCGCCGACCACGGCCAGGCAGCCACCGCCCTGGGCGTGTACGACTGGATGCGCGCCCCCGCCTCGGCCGGCGGCGGCCGCCTGGCGCCCACCGTCTTCACGTACACGGCCGCCATGCGCGCCGCGCTCGCGGCTGGCCTGCTGGACCGCGCGGCGGCGGTCTGGGAGGACGCGCGCACGGCGGGCTGCCCGCCCGACTGCAGGCTGGCGACGACCTACCTCGAGGTTTGCACCAAGCGCGGCGCCGTGGACAAGGCGCTCGCGATGTACGAGACGATGCGCGCCGCGCCGCCGGGCAGCCCGCTGGCGCCGTCGGTTCATGCGTACACCGCGGCCATGCGCGCCGCCGCCGAGGGCGGCCGCTGGGCGCGCGCGCTCGAGGTTTGGGACGAGATGGCGGCCGCCGGCGTCAAGCCGACCGCGCACGCCTACGCGGCGGGCATCAGCGCGTGCGCGGCGGGCGGCGAGTGGCGGCGCGCGGTCGAGCTCTTCGAGCGGATGTGCGACGGCGGCGTCGCGCCCGACGTCGTGTCCTGCACCGCGCTCATCAAGGCGCTCGGCGCGGGCGGCCAGTGGCAGCGCGCCGAGGCGGTCGTGTCGTGGATGCTGTCCCACGGCATCGCGCCCAACGTGCGGACGTATACGGCGCTGCTGACGGCGCTCGGCGGGGCTCGGCAGTGGGAGCGGGCGGAGCGGACTCTGGCGCAGATGGCTACGCGGGAGTGGGGCGGCGTGGCGCCGAACGCGTACACATACTCGGCGCTCATCAAGTGCATGGGCGAGCACGGGGAGTGGGCGCGCGCAGAGGGGGTGTTCCGCGCGCTGGAGACGCGCGTGCGCGGCGCCGCTGCGGCGGCCGCGGGCGCAGCCGCGGCTGGCGGCGCGGGCGTTGGCGACGCCGCGCGCGCGAGCGGGGGC